AAGGAAGGAAGGAAGGAAGGAAGGAAGGAAGGAAGGAAGGAAGGAAGGAAGGAAGGAAAGAAGGAAGGAAAGAAGGAAGGGAGAAAAGAAAAAATTGGATGGGGAGAAAGGCTCAGTGGGTAAGAGCTCTTGCTGCACACGCATAAATACTGAGTTCAAATCCTCAGCAATGTAAAAAGCCATGTGTGGCCCATATGGATCTACAACCTGGTGCTGGGTGTGCAGAGACAGGAGGATCTCTGTGGCTCACTGACTGCCAGAATATCTGGAAAATGGCAAGCTCCAGGTTCAGCGGGAGAGCCTGTCTCAAAGGATTAAGGTGGAGAGTGACAGGACACCTGGCATCATCCTCTGCTCTCTGCATATGTACATTAACACATGTGCATTATGTACACATGCACATGCATTATGTACACACACATGCATTATATACACACCATACACACACATGCAATATGTACACATGCACATGCATTATGTACACACACACCACACACACACTTGCATTATATACACGTACATACTGCTTCCCTAGCTCAAAGTTGCCTGGGATTCAGTTCAGCTCTTCAGAACTCTGCCAGGCCTGGGCCTCTCAATGGCCCTTTACTTCAGCCTGACTCTAATTTACTTCAGGTCAGAGCAACCTGAGTGGGCCCCTCAGTGCTTAAACCTAACATCAACTTCCTGCCCTTGAGAACCCTGCTTACCTTTCCTCCCACGCACTCAGAGGCCATGTCAATCAGCTGGGTGAAGTCCAGAAATCTGGTCAGTTTTCCTTCCTTTGGAGTATCAGCCATGCTTCCTGGAAGTGAGAAAGGTAGGATCAGTCAGGACTGAGCTACATGAGTAAGGAGGCCTCTGAAACCATGCCTGGAGGCTGTCCATCCGAGGAGAGGCAGTGAAGGACTGAACTATTTATCACCGTGGTGAGACCTCAGCAACCAAAACAGACAGGAAGTGAGAGACAAGCAAAAATATGCCACCGCTTAACACACAGATAGATCCCAATCACAGCCACACAAGGCTAGGTTGTGTCTTAATTACTGTCATGGTTACTGTTCTAGTTCTGTGAAGAGACACTATGACCAACATAACTCTGGTAAAAGAAAATATTTAACTGGGGCTGGCCTACAGTTTCAGAGGTTTAGTCCACTATCATCATGGTGGAGAGCATGGCAGACATGGTGCTGGAGAAGGAGCTGAGAGTTCTAATCTGGAGCCACAGGCAGCAGGAAGAGAAAGACACTGGGCCTGGCTTGGGCTTTTGAAATCTCAAAACCCACCCCAAATGACACACTTCCTCCAACAAGGCCACACCTCCTAATCCTTCTCAGGTAGTGCCACTCTCGGTGAGCCTATGGGGGGGGCATTCTTATTCAAACCACTGCAGTTACCTAAAAGAGAAACATTGATTTTAAAAAGAACAATTCGCAGGGCTGGAGAGATGGCTCAGAGGTTAAAAGCACTGACTGCTCTTTCAGAGGTCCTGAGTTTAATTCCCAGCATCCACATGGTGGCTCACAACCATCTGTAGTGAGATCTGGTGCCCTCTTCTGGACTGCTGTAATACATGCTGTATACATAATAAATAAATAAATCTTTAAAAAAAAAAAAAAAAGAGTGCTGAGCGCTCTTCTAGAGGACCCGGATTTGATTCCCAGCATCCATAAGGCAGCTAACAACTGTCTATGATTCAAAGATCTGACACTCTCACACAGACATGCATGCAGGCAGGACACCAATGCACATAAAATAAAAATAAATTATTAAAAAAGAGTAATGTTTAAAAAAAAAAGACTTGTCTTTAAGTGCATTCTAATAATAACCCTAGAACTTCCAGGTGGCAGGCACAACATGAGACATGCCTACTGTGGGAGCCCTCCAGAGTCAGGCAGATGCTGCCCTAGTCAGACACCAGGCCACAGATACGATATAGGACTCATGTCATCAGGCAAACAAGGGGCAGAGAAATGGAGAGATGGAGAGATGGAGAGAGGGCCCAGAGCGGGCCAGGGCCTCCCTAGCCCTAAACTAAAAGTCTTTCTTCATGCTTCCACGTTCCTGCTCCTCGTGAGAACAGAGAAAACCACATAAAAATTAACATATTAGTGACTTTGTACCACGTGGCCACAATATAACACCTGACAGAAACAGTTTAAGATCTGGTTTGGCTCCGGGTTTCCCTCAAGGCAAGGCGCAGAGGCATGTGACAGAGGTTTATGGCATGATGGCTCAAGATGCACAGAGCTGTGACAGGAAGTGGAGAATAACCTAACCCCGAGGACCCTCCTCCAGTGTTCTACTTCCTCCAGCTGGGCTCCACCCCCCAAAGTCTCCAGAACCCCACAAAGTAACACCACCGTTGGGGACCAAGTGTTCAAAAAGCATGAGGCCATGGTGACATTTCACACTCAAAGTGCATCTAAGGCAGGGCGGCAGTGGCTCACGCCTTTGATCCCAGCACTCCGGAGGCAGAGCAGGCGGATTTCTGTGAGTTCGAGGCCAGTGTGGTCTACAGAGCGAGATCCAGGACAGGTACCAAAGCTATACAGAGAAAGCCTGTCTCGAAAAACCAAAAAAAAATTTTAAAAGTGCATCTAAGAACTTGGCCTGAATCAGTCACAGAATCCAAATGGATGAGAAGTCAACCTCTCCCTTAAAGTCACAAAAATATGATTACTATTGAGTAGCATTTTCTAGTGACAATACATATTTAAGAAATAGGCACTCCTAGAGTCTACACTGGGGAGCTAGAGAAAACACCCTGTGAGTGAAGTCCTTGCCGTGCAAACGTGAGGTCCTGAGTTCAATCCCTAGGACCCAAATGTAAGATGAATAAATTTAAAGTTGGGCATGGTGGTATGTGGGGCGTTTACCCACCACCCCCACAGCTTCCCAGAGTTTTCTTGAGTGCGATCAGCAGGAAATATTAGATAGAAGGATTTATAGTGGAGAATCTTGTGGAGATAAACAGATAGAAAATAAAGGATAGCCTCGAGAGGGCCTGGAACCTATTCCAACGGGCCCAGACTGTCTCTGGCCCAGGGTTTTTATAG